TCTACAAATCTACAAATTTACAAATCTACAAATCTACAAATTTACAAATCTACAAATCTACAAATTTACAAATCTACAAATCTACAAATTTACAAATCTACAAATCTACAAATTTACAAAGTTATAAGCTCACGAATATTATCTTCTTTTTCTACCATTTTTTCGTTCATTTTTTCAATTTTTTTCTGAGCTGATTCATTTGATCACTATTATCGCCGAGTTGTGTTTTCAAAACATCCAATTTGTTCTTCGCGCCTCCAATAAGTAGTTGTGCCATTTCGACACCAGCAAAGTTTTTCGTTGCAACTGCAGCTTCGAGCCGTGAGTTGCCTTCATTGAGCATTTTAGATGCATTTTCTAGATCTTCTTGTAAGATCTTGCGTTGATCGATTAGATTCTGTTCTTTTTCGACCAAAATTAGTTCTTTGTTTTTCGTTAATTTTGCAGCAGCTTCAATGGCTTCTTTTTCTTTGAGTATTCTTTGTTTTCTTTCTTGGTCAACTTGATATCGTGAGTGTGCTTCCTTGACATTGTCAAGAAGTCCTTTGCAAATTGGAACCTAAAAAAGTATACCAGTCACATTGATAATAATTAACTGTTACGTAATAGTCTCACTTACTTCGTGAACTTTTCCTTGTCCGTAAAATTTGACGGCGTCTTTCGTTGCTCGAAGTCCGTTGATGGAGATGTCACTTAGAGATGATCGATCGTCGGTGATTAGTGCTGCATTTTCACTAAAACCACGTTCAACATCGGCATTACCATGTGAAAGTGATAGAAGACTCTTGATGAGTTTAGGTAATGCGACAAATTTGGCAGTCCCTGAACTGTTTTTTATTGCAAAAACATGTCTCCAATAATGATCGACTGGATGATACTTTATAACTTCATCAGAACCACCACTGGTGGTTTTTTGTTGATACCACTCTTCTGGAATGGTTTCATTTTCATATAAACGCCGTTCGACATTCAAATAATCAAGATCGTCATCCGATAGTAGTTGAGGCAAGTCACGTGCGATAATCATTAGACTTTTACTGGAAGATTCATGATGCCGTTGAAGTGGATGCATGAATTGAAGGTTCTGTAAAAAATTGTTGGTCACTGGTAATGTACGTGTCAGTTCTCGCTAGAATAGTGAAAGAAAGAAAATCATATAATTTGGCATCCTAAAGATCAATAGATTTAAAATCTTTAAAAAAAACTAAGCAATTTTCTTCTATTGTAACTATAAGTACAGTACAAATGTTACAAAATACTTTCGGTTCAAAACTATCTATTCGCTGCATGAAGTTCTTCTTTGATACCATGTAGTTCTCTCTCATTGACTTTACCCTGTTGATGATCTCTCGTTCATACATTCTAAGTAGCAGCCTCTTTTTGATAATTGACTCTATGTTATTCATCACTTAGAGTTCATTTGATGTATGTTTGCCCTCAAATAATATGCTCGATAATAGTGATAGAAGGTGAAATAATTTATTTCTCCTTCTACGCGTAAATTTTACATCAAACGATCGTTCTAATTTGATCTCATTAAGTTAAGGATTGGTACTTACAGCAATAGTTTTGTAAATATCGCGAACATCTTGCATAAATGTGATTTTTTCATTTGTTGGCATTTCTTGAAGTTCATTGCGTGTGATTTCACCAATTTCGAGTTTCGAATCTGGTTTTTCATTAGCTTGAGAATCGAAAGAAATCGAGAGCAGTTGTTTTACAGTTTTGTTTGTCAATAAATCATCTTTAATAAAACTTATCAGTATATTGCGAAATAGATTACTGCACTCTTCGAATAGCAGATGAATCAATGGTTGCTTTTGTTGTAACCAGGTCAGAGGTTTTGAGAATATATGTCGATAAACGTAGAGAATAAAATGGAAGCGAACGAGTGTTTTCTTTTGTTCGAGTTGAGTTTGGATTCGTTTCCATCTATCATTATTTATAATTTTTTTGTCAATCTTTGGTAAATACACGAGGAAATATTCGATGAGAATCGGCCATTGATCGATTATCCGTTCAATAACTGGACCTACTTCGATCCACCGAGTGATCACGAAGCGTTTCACAAATCGACCAACGCCTACGCCAATAGTTTCCACTACTTTCAAGTAATCTTCACGCCGAACTGATGATCGAGAGAAAAAAAACCAAAAGTCGTATAAAATATCTTCAATTTGCCAGTCGTTTTGACTAAAACCTCGTTTGAAAGCATTGTGAATAATATGAAGTGGACAAGGTCCAATTGGAAGTAAACCTTTGCTTGATGAATTTCCTGTTCTGAAAATAAACAATATATAATTAATCTTATTTCTATTTCTACCTTCAACAACTTACTTTTTCTCTTGGGCAGATCGCACTTCCTTCTCTATCATAGCTTCAACCGCTTTATTGACATTAGGATTATCCCTACCTGTTACAACAGAAATGAGTCTATAGTATATAAAAGAAAGTATTAACTCACCCAAATGAAGAAGTTTAGACAAATCCAGCCCATCAGATTTCAATGAATCGAGTAAATGGTGACTGATAATGTCAGCAGTCGCATGCCCAAGCATAATACTTTTCCAATATCGTGTTACGACACCCTGCTGGTATTCGCTCCAGTATCGAATATGTAAGTCCAGTTGCTTTCGTACTCCAACAATAGTTGTTTCATCGAAAAGTAACGAGTAGGCAGGAGCTTTAAGTACATCTTTAATGAGTTCACGAATAAAAAAATAACCAGTTCCATGTGATACTACATACGAAAGCTTACGATCTTTCATCGCATAATCGGCAGCTACTTTACTGTCAGGAAACATTGACGCAAATAATTCAGGAATATTTTGTGATGAATCATAACTAAAGCCAAGTTGTGCTGTTGCCATGGCCCAATAACATTCAGCACGAGTAATCTTTTCTTCATGAGTTAATGCTCGATCGGTACTGTTGTTAAGCACCATGAAGGATGGATTGTTTGTTATGGGTGACGAAAAAGAAGAAGAAGTATAAGATTGATTTGAGGCAGTGTTGTTCCTTGTAGACGATAATGTTACGGTAGAAGCAACGAGCTGACCCGATTCCAAAACGTCTTTTAGACATTGTAGATGTTTCGGGCGTTCAAAATGATTTTTAACGTTAGTCCAACCTCCGTTGGCACAACTTAATTCGATATTGCATACAGTACATATGAACGTACTCTTTTCTTTACCTTGACGTAGCCAAACGGAACATGGTTTGCCCGTCGAGTCGACTTTGTGTAGCCACTTTGATGAAAAACTAGTGTATTTTGGCATCTAACGTCTTTAATGTTTATTAAGAAATGTTGAATATTTTGTACTATTTTTACGAAACATGCATTCTCATCTACACTTTACGAAAAGGTTAATTGAATTACATATGTATGTAGTGAAAAACACTTCTTTTCATTTATCAACAGATTGAGCCGCCGTGTATTAAAATTATATCGGTCTGATCTCTTTGAAAAAATGTAACGAAAAGTACCGCCCTATTTCTTTTTGATTATTCATTATATTTATATTTCATTGTTATTCTCTTTCATATTCGTTCTTTCTTTTATTCCATGATCTATATTATAGGCTTCATGTCTATTGCTTGGTCTTCCCCAAATAAGTATGTGTTCTATGAGTGAGATAGAGAATAAATCACTCGCAAAACTCAAAATAAACGACAATATTTTGATATCGGCACTGCATTCATCAAACTTGCTGCAGATCGATATTTTCTTACTAGAAAAGGCAATAGCAACAACTGATATTGTGGTGATAACAAAAATCATCTTGCAAAAGTACTAGAAGTCAAGCTATCATATAATTGAATTAGTTTGAGAATTTTTTTGTATTAGTATTAGATTCATAGTTTGCTTTCGCTCAGAGCAAAGCTACAATCAATTTTGTTCGTGCAGGTTCTGTTCAATCTTCACCTGATCTGTTTTTATTTTTATTGTAGGACGGTACATTTGGATGAATTCCTTCTTTCCTACTTTTCCTTCTTTTCAATTAATTTCCTTCTTTTTTTAAAAAAAATTCCTTCTCAAAATCCTTCTTTTTATCAAACCCCGCTGCGGGGCCTGCATTTAAGATGATATTAGTATAAATCAATGCTAATTAATACACTTACAGATTAAAATAAAGTTTCTAGTATTAATACGTAAGTATAAGCAGTTTTCTTTAGTGTTAATATTAATCAAATATTACTACAAACAGCTATTCATCGCTATATCAAAAAGTAGAGGTACAAAAGAGGAAAGGATAGAAGAATTATACCACATAGAAGTGTTTTATTGTGACAAATATAATTAATGTAATTATTATAAAGAGAAAAAGAGGTTATTCTATACGAAAATTAAATTAAGGATGTAGAACAATCAATCAGGGCTCATTTTTTTTCCTGATCATATCATATTTTTATAAAATCGCTTAGAGTTCAAGCGAGGCCACAAAAGTGAGCTCGAAACAGCGTTAAGTTGTAATTTCGAGCTCACTTTCTCCTGTCCACATTTTATCACTCAGTTGGTCTCCATGTTTTATGATATACAATACTCATATTCTTCGCCTATACTGGGTGGTGCATAAAAAACGGAACACTTTTTTTCTTTTTTTCA